ATTTCTTGCAAATGTCAAAATCTGCTGTTAGCAGATGACTGATGTTTTAGTCGTATCCTGCCACCAGCTGTTCCCGCTGTGTGCTGTAGGGGGCCTCAGGGAGCAGGAGTCTGTCCCAGCTGACACCCTGGACAGGTCGCCAGCCTTCGCTTCCATACGTGACCGTTGTCTCGGGCCTATCGTAGCGGTTCCCACTGGACTGGTCTATCCTCTCCACGAGTCCTCCCGTTTAATCAAATGTGGATTTTTGTGGCTCCAGTAGCCTCCAACAATGGCACAGAGGAATAAACCCTAATCCAACCTTCTGGAACCCGTGGCTCACATTTCAGACGTGTTGTTGTAAAATATAAAAGTCTAGATGTAAAACTGTGACGTACAAAATAAATCACGATGGAAAATAAAATCTGCTGTTTAGAACTTAAAACTGAGAGAAACGCAGAATATAATCACATCTGATTTGTTTTAAATGTTGGTAGACGGTGACAAACGTTTGTCTTTCTGTCCAACATGACCTTTCATCCACCTGCAGAAAGATTATTTTTCCAGCAGAGACGCCTTCACCTGTTTGTTATTCAGCTTTGGAGTAGCAGCACTGAGACGTGTGCAGCCTCGTGTGAACATGGATCTATGAGCATTTTCACGTGTTGAGTGACATCAGCAGCGTGATTCACAGAAACATGGAGGAAATTAGCGCAGCGTCTCCAACGTGCAGGAACACCAGGCTCATGTCGACGGCAGCTCGCGTCGCCGGTGTCGACATCAAACAGGTCTGAGCAGCACAGTTTGGGAAACACTTGATACTGGTGATAATTATTTGCTCCGTGCTATCCTGTTAAACAAGTTCATTAAAGTGTTTAGTTCCAGCTGCTTCGTTTGTTTTTAAATGGATTAAACCTGGAGAGGAGCTTTGGCAGCGTTCAGAGAGTAATCTTGGATCAGGCCGTGTAAGATCTTCTGCAGAGAATGCAGTGAAAATAGGAAAATTGAGGGGCTTGGAGGAGACTTAGCGAGCAGAGCAATCTGCTAAAGCCCTGGAGTGCTGGTGAGAGAAACTGCAGCGGAAAGACGCAGGAAGACCAATATAGACAGAAATTGGAGGATGTGTTTTCTGGTCAGGAACCCATTGCTAAAATTAGCAAGGATGTAAATTCCTGAGCATTGCCGGTTTTTCAAATCCGTGCATGACACTGAGAGTTGCCAGAAGAACATAAAACATAAAACAAAAAAAATAAAAGTGGAAGGGCGGCGGGATAGGGAGAGGTCATACATGAGCAGTGCCATGGTAATGTTTTCCTTCTTCCTTACTTCTTTTTAAATTGACCATCGCCCTGAGAACAAAGACATCTAACAAGCCACAAGAAGGAGGGGAAAAGCTCTGAAAGCGAAAGCCGCGGCCCCCACGCACAACAGTCCACAGGGGGAGGCTCGGGCCCCGGACGCCAAACCTTCAACACAATCACCACACATGCTATTGTGGCCTGCAGTAAAGCTCAAATCTCCAGCTCACCCCCTCCGCCTCCACCCTCACCGCCAGCCCTCTCTCTCCCCCGGCTCTTTCTCTGTCTTTCCATGCATCCCTGTCATTTACAGCCCTAATGACAAGACACAAACTTCCACACATTCAACCCCTGCAGAGCGATGATAATCACATTACGGCCGACGACAGGGGCACAAACCGAACCCAACTTGGATGCACTCAGACGTGGATTTGCATAAATCCAAACAGTACAATCAGCAGTTAAACGGTGTGGCTCAAGCTCTGCTCTTCTTTTTCCATCGTGGATGGAAGAGAGAGAGAGAAAAAACTCCACCACGCTGTGCAGCGCTGAGGGAATGGGTAGATGGAGATGGAAAATAGCGGAAAACTTTCTCAGTTTACAGTCGCCACATAAAGCCAGGACTATTTCTAGGCATCCTATTGGTTTAACAGAGGCGGGAACACACAGCCGGCTGAAAGTCAAGGACAAAGACTCATGAGAGACTTAGCGGCGGATCCGAGTTCCCATGCTCTGTCCGTGCTGGACTTTGTCTTGCTGCTTTTCTGTTTACATGCAGATTAATTCAATGGCTAAACATTGACATTCCTCTTTTCTAGTTCTTATCTGAGAAGTGCTTAATGTTGAAAACGTGGGGCGCCAGGGACTTCCCTGCCCCGCAAGGTCAGAGTGAGATAAGTGGAGTGTCAAGGTGAAGCGATAGCGGGGCATGTACGGACTTGCCGGATTCTTGTACAGTAACGTTTTATTGGTATTTCCGTGCTCAGCAGGTGTGAGTCTTCAAATCTGAAAACTAAACCGATGACACATTCCTCTAACGCAACATCTGACACTCACATTTACGGCCTCGCCTGCCTGCTCACAGCCCGCCTGCTGCCGTGGAAGTCGGATATTATAAGATCGCTAACATCATCTGTGACCGCAGCCCGCTACATGTCCAGATTCAAGACGAGCTTTATTTGTCACATTTATTCACGAACAATGTGCAGTGAAATGTGTTTTGTTCCAGCATCCAGTTTCAATAGAAGGAAAAATTTAAAAAATAATAAAAATAGGTTTTAAAGAAGTATAGATACTTTACGCATGTATGCATACACATAAATAATCAGATAAATAAAGCAAATGAACACTGTTATGGTGCATAAGGTGTCTGTGTGTATAGCACAGTCCAGAGTTGAGCAGACGGACGGCCTGAGGGAAGAAACTCTTCCTCATCCTCTCAGTTACACTCTTTAGGCAGCGATAGCGTCGGCCTGACAGCAGCAGGGAGAAGAGGGAGGTTCCAGGATGCTTCAGGATCTTCACAACCCTCAACCTGCATCGTTGGGTGTAGATGTCCTGGAGGTCGGGGAGGGTGGATCTGATGGTCCGCTCAGCTGAACGGACCGCCCTCCTCAGGACCAAGAAGTCCTGCTGCCCATCCAGGCGGTGATGCTCCCTTGCAGGATGCTCTCAGTGGTTCCTGAGCGCTGTGAGCTTGAAGTCTTTCAGGCGTCTGAGGTGTCTGGCCTCCTTCACAGTGGACTTCATGTGAAGTGACCTGTGTGCTTGTCACACATGTTCCAGTGGTTCAGTGTTGTAGGAAAAGTGCACTTCACTGATTTCATTTTGCTGTGGTTGAATTTAAGGCTCATGTTTTATTGTCAGAATGTGGACTCAAGCAGCCACGCTCTCCGGTTACACAGAAAGATCAAATATTTACCGTGTGAGTGATTTGTAAATGTCTGTTTCATATTATTATAAATAGCTGCCCTGTGTTTTGGCATGGGATAAGCCCTCTAATGAATAGACCGATTACTCACACCAGACCTTCTGGTTCATATTTCACGGCTGGCTGACACTTTGTGCAGCACACCTTCCTCCTTACGCGACGCAGAGCCGACGATGTAATTATTAAAATCTACCCTGGATCTTATTTACACAGGTTTGGCTATCGTTTGTTGGTTAAGATAATACTGTGCTCACCAAAGTATTTGCTGAGGTCTGGGAACCCGGTGGCACTGTGACAACAAAGACTGACGGGACAAGAGACGGGCGGAGCCAGAGGCCGGCTGCAAACAAGCCAACAGTTTAGTCAGATTATCGAAATCACTTTATTTGGAAGTCAGCAGTAATCCTCCATTATGCACGACAAGTATGACGAGTTTACCCAGCAGGAGAGTCTGTGTGAAAGCTGTGTTGGATGTTTACAATAGATATCTTCCTATTACAGTCCATAACTGTCCTGTAACAACTGATTTCTGAGCTGCTCAGGGCCCTTTGCTGCAGCTTCTCACCCCCTTTAGTCTCCCTGCAGCGATCTCGTCAATACAAGCTGACGTCAAAGTCACAAAAAATTGTTTCTGAAATATTGCAAAAATAAAAAAGTGCAGCACGTGAGATGTCATTGATGTGGGGGTTAAAGGAGAGTGTAGCGTGAAGTACGGCATCAAGACTTTTAATCAGAATCGGAAGCTTTTATATCGCCAAGTGAACTCGCACGCACAAGGAATGTGACGTGGTGAATGAGATAATAACAAGAGAGAAGTCTAGATCTGAGAAATCCTAAATAAAATGTGTAAAAGAAAAGTATAGAAGTACTACGTCAATAAAAAGTACTGTGCAACGAGACTTAAACTGTTTCCTAATTCATGACTTGGTTTAAGTAATAACGCAATATTGCACATGCAGTTGAGGAATTGCACGTGATGGTAACGCAACAGGAGTCTTTAGTGGTTTACTGACGGCTCATGAGGGATGTGGCCTGAGGGAAGAAGATTCAGGATTCCACTGTGTGGACATCACATCTATTACAGGATCCAGCTCTGGAGCTAAAACCACCACAGCAGCATCACAACACAGTGGAATCATCTCTACACCTTAATCCTCACTAGGGTCATGGGGGGCGGAGTCTATCCCAGCTGACTCAGGGTGAAGGCAGGTGAACGGAGAACCCGGAGAGAACCCACGCTGCACGGGGAGAACATGGAGACTCCACGCAGAAAGATCCCGGGTGTCCTCACCGGGACGCCAACCGGCGACCTTCTAGCTGCGAGGCAACGATGCTAACCACTGATCCACCTGCAACCCCTTATATGAACTATTGAATGTTATTAGTTCTGCTTCTTGTCTCTCCTGCAGTCAGTGTTCAGTTTTTTCTTTTCTCTTCCTCCTCTAACTTCCATCCAACCGGTCAAGGCAGATGTTGGCCTTCCGTTAGCTTCTGCTGGAGGGGCCTTCGTCTCCACTCTCTTTCCTGTAATGTTTGGATTCAATGGTTTATCTATGACAATGTAGGTTCTTACTATTAACATTAGTCCGATTTATTTGCGTTATGTATATATATTGCAGGGTTCTAACCTTTATATTTAAATTAATGAGATCAGTTTGCATTTTTGACAAATGATAAACACAAGTAAAGACTTTAAACTTATTAAGTAAAGTCCCAACTCCAACCTGATTTGTCCACTAGAGACACTTTGTTGTTTGAATGATTGACGCAAAACAAGTCACTCTGAGTCAAACTCAGTTTTAAGACTTTATTGCTCCACATATGCAATGAAGAAGGCAATCTCAGGTGATTCAAGAATAAAAAAGAACATTCAAGCTTTTTTTTGTTGTTGTTTTATTAAAAATGAGAGAGCGCAACCTCTAATTATAAACCCAGCTAAGTGTTTATCAGTATGAATAAATAAAAGTTCAAAATAAATAGACTATTAAATACAGTATAAAACAACAGGCAAACAGGAAGGAATTGCAATGGAAGGAGTTTGCTCTTTGATGAAGGAACAACGTGTTTAGAAAGGCAGCAGAAGTAGGAGCTTTGGAGAGTGTTGGGAACTTAGAAAAATAATCCGTTTGGCAATATGGTAAATAGTGAAATCATACAAAATGTACAAAAGAAGTAACTGCAACCAGTAAACCAGAGCAATAACAAAAAAAATTCCCTTTTCCAAAGATGGGTCTACCTGCTACAACAGAATCATTACATCTGAAAAATACAGTCAAAATTCAAGTAAAGGAAGGTGTATGTCAGTAACACAATGATTTGCAGTCATCAATTAAGAGCGCTGGGGGACGCAGTCCACTTTACACTAGTCACCATCGGAGAGCCGCTTCGTTAAGCAAACCCTCGTTAACATCACACACGGAGGCACTTTAAACGTTCTGGAATGAGTCGAGCTCTTAGTCGTCGTAGCTTCAGCGCGGCACTCAAACCCACAGAAAAGTGAAGTTTGTAAAGCTTTTACAAAATGAGACATTGAAATTGCAAACCAAACTATTATTAGTATGAAATCATCAACCACAACAACTCATCATAGCATCTCTTTGTTTTGTTTTTTCCCATGTATGTGCATTTTTCTCTTCCCTCGTGGTTGCCGGCACGCTACCGACAGCCGCACTGCCTTCTACTCTGTTAAACAATCTCCCAGTTTGACACCACGGTGAGTGTAATCGCCCCTTTTTCACAAAACTCTGAAACGAAATCAAGATCACCCGATTCTTGATCCAAGTGCTACATCACAAGTCCCCAATGTTTTTTTTTGGTAATCGCCCATAAACAAGAAAACAAAGTGAATCTGTACAACAACAGTACCTCATATACTTTATGTCCTCTCTTCTTTTTAAATCAAATAAACATCACTTCTAGGATTATAGCTTAATTTCTGCACCGAGCCGGCAGGAGGCCGGTAACAACACCAGGTCCGTTCATACACCTAAGCAGCACCGTCTCTTTAACTCCGGGCCAGCTCAAGCTCATCTCAGCCCGTCCCGATGCTCCGTCCTCAAGAGGAAATGGAGCAAAGTGCCAAATAAAGAGAGACTCTGTGACATCAGCGCCAACCACAAACTGAGCCGAGGCTGGACTTCTGTTTGTTTGGATGCAACGAGCTCTGGGGGAGTTTCTGTTTTCTTTGTTTCCTGTAAAGCTGAAGCCATTCCCAGAGGTGAACTGATTGTTGATTTTTATGAAGCAGGAATGGAAGATTAAAAAAATAAACGCACGAGCAATTGATTGTATCTGTACAGAAGACATGGATAATAAAAATACATATTTAAATATACTGAATCTACTCGATACATCTATTGGTGTGTATTTGCTCCATTCCCTATGGATAAGATGAAGAAATCAAAAAATGTACAGTAAGTCAGTCTGATTCAGTCGGCCCAACAGGATGGCGAAGTTCTCTTGGTTCTGCTGACCCAAAGCCGTCCCCGCAGCATTGCTCCAGCTCAGCGTAGAGTTCAAAGGGCTGCAGTGTCTGATTTGAATTCCCCCCAACTGCACAGATCACACTGCAAACACGCTCAGGGTGCTGGTCTGGTCCTTTAAACCCAGGATGCTGTAGGCGATTCTTTTCAAATGGCCGGGCAGCCTCACCCCGATGTTCTTAATATCCCTGTAAAAAAAATAAATAAAAGAGAGACATGACAGTAAGAGGAGCTGCACATGGATTTACACTTTGGCCTCTTTCCAACACTTTTCATGCACATCCTTCCTGTCTCTGAAGCCTTGAAGTAATCACTGACTCATTCAACGTGATGAAATGCCCGCCCCGAGCTGAATCTGTTCTCGTCTGGCTCGATCACCGAGCCAGCTAGGTGGGGCGCCTTCCAAGTTCCTAATCCGCCGAGCTTCAGTTTATCTTCGACATTAAAGAACAACACGGGAAGAGGGGGGGGGGTTTGCTCTTCACAACACGTGATGCAAACCTGCAAAAAGCCCTGCAACACACCAGGCCAAAGCAACAGCCTTAATTACAGCCTTAATTACTTAACGAGGATTCTCCCTGTTGACCATGAATCACTTGTCTGGCAAGCAGAGGGTGGGTCGTAAATAACTGCTGGTTTTCCAAGAGTGCTACCAGATGCCCTGAGATGGAAACATGGGGCCATGAAATCACACCATACTGTATGACAAACACTTCAAAAGGCTTGGTCTCTGCTTTACAGTCTGCCCATCTTCCCAAGACCAGACTAACTGACATACTTATACCATGGCAGAAGGGGATGGGGTTCTTCGTGTGGTTAGAAAACGCTATGGCCCTCGTTATTGTCCCAAAGTAACCTCGTATTATGTTACTTCGCTAAAGTAGTTTTTTCCAAAAGGCTAAGTTTGTTTCATTAAATTGCCCTCTTAGCGCAAAACATCTGGGAGGATCTAACTGCCCCGGACTAGCTCGAGCTCAGTTCAGTATGTCCCGAGTGCACCTCTTCAATCTTTCCAAACGGAGTTTTACATCCATTTTTTCCAGTTTCTTAATCTCCTGTAGCTGCTCCTGCTCCACAGCCGGCTCTGCCCTCCGTTCTTACTTCAATGCTGAAGAAGCCACAAAAGGTCTTTGCCCTAAGCAAGCAAAACCGGCGGTTTCAGGGGCTCAAGCAAAAGTGCTGCCCAGGGCAGCTGTGGGAGAGGGTGCAGGGAGGGAAAGAAATGGAGAGAAGGAAGGAGAAGAAGAACTGCAGCGACCACAAGCCGCCACCACCAGCCTACTACAAATGAGCCCACTCCTCCTTCCCTCCATTACATTTTCCATCTTCAACATTTCTCAACTTGTAGCTGAGGTTGGAAATTATATTGTGCTGCTACTCTGTTGGCTGTTAAACAACAAAAAAAAGCAGCGTTTTTAGGAAAGCAAATATAAAAACCACTGCAGGGAAGTCCATCATAGGTTTGGTGTAATATGTTGGTTTTAATTCATGACATAATAAAACCACATTTCTTTCCTTTTCTCTGCCAAGAACACAGAACCAGATAAGACAAACACTATTCAAACGTTTCTACTTACTCGTTCTTCATCTGCAGGACCTGGTCCATGGTGATGATCCCGGCGCAGCTGAAGTTCTCGCTGTACTGGCTCATCTTGATCGACTCCAGCCACTCGGACACCGACCTGAACGGAGACCCATCCGAGCCACTGGTGCTGGGCAGGCGGATGGATACACTAGCGAAAAAAAAGCAGATCCAAATGATAATAATGAACAGACTTTCCCACAACAAAGGCGGGTGACTGAGGACAGTAATTACAGGAAACCAGTTGGAAATAAAAACCAGTTGGAGGAGTCGAGAGTCGATTAAGGTGTCAGCATCACAGCTACGTGTCCTTTCTCACTGTTTCAGGCTTTAATGCTTCATCACAAAAGAGAAAGTATGCATTCAGGCAGACTGCTGGAGGAAGCTTTCTTGTTTGGGGCTGAGTTCACATACATTTTTTTTATGAGCCTGGCGGGCGAGGCATCAGCGTGTCCTGTTGTAAGTAGGACATCTTAAAAGTTAATCCCCTTTCTCCTCACTTGACCTTCAACCTCCGGCGATTTTCTTGAAATTGGAGTTAATGGGAAGCTGCTCCTCAACCTGTTTTTAAAGCCCATCCTCATCACGTCTTAAGATGAGGGTAAAGTCAGATGAATAAAGTCTGAATCAAACATTTGATCCAAAGCCAAGTTTAGACAAAGAGGAGAACACTCCGGGTATCACATAACCACAAAGTCTCTCCGGTTGTTGTCTTCAACTATTTAAACTACTTAAAATGGCAATATGATTAACAAGCATTAAGTCTTCAGAACATTTCCATGCCGTAGCTCCATCTACGATCCTCAGGCTGATTCATTTCATGGTGCGCGGCTACACGAGGATCGCCGACACTGTTGGAAATAGTTTTCTTTACTCCTGGATCTGTGCATGAAAATATTTGACCTGTCGAGTTTTTAAATACTCTGAAGTACACTACATCGTAATTCTCTCTCTTCTTTTTTATTACTTAAGCCTGATTTGGGTCAAACTCTGCAGCCTTGGTCACCGTTCTGAATTATTGCTGCCTCTTCTTTTAGTTATAGAGCTCTTCATACAGTTAAGAAAAGCTTCCCCTCTAACAAGTGACCACTTGACTTTGAGTGCTTACTATCAGGGTTTTATGCTACATAAGCAGATAGCAGGAACCAAAGGGAAATTAAAAGAGCGTCAGACTAAATATAGCGTTTATATTACTTGTTCTGGTTGCAAAACTGTTTCCAAGAACTGCTTGCTGATGGAGGCAGCTACTGGAGGATCAGCACTAGAAAAATACGCATTAGAAGCACTTCGTCTGCTACGTAAATAAATCTCACCGCGGGTCAAAGTCTGCGATGGTCTTCAGGGAGTCTGGGCTCCGCAGCAACTTGTCCAGCAGGCTGACGATGTCTCCGAAGCGTGGCCTCTTGGAGCGATCCTGGAGCCAGCACTGCAGCATGAGCTGGTAGACAGCGGAGGGACAGTCCATGGGGGCGGGCAGCCTGAACGCCTCGTTGATGGCCTTCATCACCTGCAAGCAGAGACTCATTAGATCTGTGCTCAGTAGTAGGTTTTTATCAAATGTTTTTTAGTATAACAGTTTCATTTGTTTAGATTCTCGGTCATCCAGGTCGTTGTAATTCTAGGATGTCAGTTAAAAAAAACAACTGGACTTCTCTTCTTCAGTTCAGAAACGAAGACGTCTACTGGATGAAACGTCCAGTTGTTTTTTACTGAAGCTCCTGGGATAAGGATTGAAAGCTAGGTTGCAAAACTCCGATCTATAAACAGTGAAACTCACCTCGTGGTTGCTCATGTCCCAGTAAGGTCGCTCGCCAAAAGCCATGACCTCCCACATGACGATGCCGAAACTCCACACATCGCTCGCTGAGGTGAACTTCCTGTACGCTATGGCCTCTGGAGCTGTCCAGCGGATGGGAATCTTACCTCCCTGTTCAAGAAAAACACAGAGAAACGAATAAACATAAGCCTCTAAACACTTTAAGCAGCCAGATCCATCCCAGCTGCATCAAGCTTCCCAGTAGCTACTCACACTGGTGGTGTACGTCCCCTCAGGATCGTCCTCCAGCACTCGTGAAAGGCCGAAGTCCGACACTTTACACTCGAGGGTGTTGTTGACCAGGATGTTGCGAGCAGCCAGGTCACGGTGGACGTAGCTCATGTCAGAGAGGTACTTCATGCCTGCAGCGATGCCGCGCAGCATGCCCACCAACTGGAAGGAGGAAAACTCCCCATCATGGTCCTGATGGGAGGAAAATAAGCACAGGTCTGTTTTAGTCTTGTGATCAGGCTTTAATTAAACTCTGAAAGACAAACGAGTCTCGCACAACAAAATGGCCAGACTATACCTGAAAACCTGAAACACTTTGGTTTGTTCAATCATATTTGATGGAGCTAAGCCAAGGATACAAGTTTGGTTTCTCTTCAAAATGGTGACAGGAGGAATTGTTTTGTGAAAGATTTGCACACATGGATTGTTATATGATCCAAATCCTCTGCACAACTTGACATTTTCAGTGTGTAGGTTGCTGTCTCAGAGACGGTTGCTGTTGTTTTATAGTGAAAGTGAGTTGAAGAAATGGTGAACTGCACGGCCAACAGAAGGCGTTAACCTACAGCCTGAAACCAGCGAGTCCAACTAAAGAAACACTGACTATACTGCATACTGCACAACAATGTTTGAAAAAGTATGGCGGCCTTACCCTGAGGTACCGATCCAGAGCTCCGTTCTCCATGTATTCGGTCACGATCATCGCATGTTTAACTGCACGAAGAAGAAAAGATTATTTGCCTTCACTGGCCAAAAAGAAATAACGGTTGAGAAATAGTTTTTTAAAAAGAAAAGTAGGAAAACTCACAGAAGTCCTTACATTTGGTGACCACCCCCTCTAGACGGATGATGTTCTGGTGGGAGAACTGGCCCATGATGGAGGCCTCGCTCAGAAAATCCTGCCTCTGTTTCTCTGTGTAGCCGGGCTTCAGCGTCTTGATCGCCACGGCCACCTCCTTCCTGCCCGGCACCTTCAGAATACCACGGTACACCTCACCGAACTCCCCTGCAGGAAAATAACAGATATCAGACGAATGTGATCTTAGCTTCTCGCTGCAGGGGGGTTGGCTGTGCAACGGAGTGAAAACAAGGAAGTCTCTGCGGCTGTTTTGCCCCGGGCTCTCTCACAGAGGTGTGTACTGGCTCGGTGTTGAGAGAGAGAGGGCCTACGTGGGGTAATTGGTGCGTAGCCTGTGGTGTGGGAGCATGGGAATCAGCTGTCACATGAGGAGAACGGGGGGCACATGGTCGTGGGAACTGGGGGGTTGGAAAAGGGTCCTGGTTCAAAGGGTAGAGTGGTCGCACTTGAATAAACGTATCAGCTATAAAAAAATCTGGGCAGTGCCCAGGAAGGTGTTTTGATATCCTTCCAGAACACTGTTTCTGCAACACTTTCTTTTGTGTAATTGTTCGTGTCAACGTCGGCCAAAACACGGAGATCCTGCGGCCAAGAGTTGCCACACAATAAAGTGTCTCAACTTGTTGAGCGAGAACTCAGCCAGATAGATGTTAATCTCACTAAAGTAACCACCGTCAGTCAGCCTGTTAAGCTGTGGAAAATGCACAATATAAACAGCGAATTTGGGGGGGATTGGAAAAATCTTTCAACATCTCGGAGTTAAGCTCCAGAGCAGACGGTCTCAGCAGAGATGTCACTCACCAGCTCCAATGACTTTCTGTTTGGTTATGTGGCTGGGATGGATTTCAGTGGCAAACTTCAGGACGGCTATGTTGGGGTCCTCGTACGTGTGTGGATCCACGTAGGTTTTCAGCGGCTTCAGTTGTTCTGTGAGCCAAAGATCGACCATGATTAAACAATGACAGATAAATAAATAAACTGAATGAAGTGAGGGATGACAGATGGGTTTTATTCTACCTGGGCTGGAGAAGTAGGTGTCCTCTGGTCCCTGCCTGGTGTGAGAGCTTCTCTTCCTGAATGAAAACATTAAAAAAAAAAACATCTGCAAATTAGCATCAAAGAACAAACGAACTTGTGTGTCTGTATCATTTTGCCTGCTTTAATATCAATAGCACATAGCAACCTTTGAAAGCATTTTTCTAGACGTTCTAAGGCTTTTAAAAGGATCCCGACACCAGTGCAATGCGTCCATTCATAAAGCGGCGGCTCTTTGATAAAGCCTGACGATAGGCTGTGTTTGCCAAGCCGATTTAAAGACTGAAAGACAGACAAGTAGGCGGGAAGGAGGTGGACGGGCGGGCTACAGTCTGCTACAGTACAGCACCGGGTCACCTTTACAAAGTGCCTGTGGCCCGGTACAGAAAGAACCAAGCGCCTCTTATCGCCAACAATGTACCACTCTGGGCTAATTTCCTTTCAAAGGCCCCAACACTCGCTAGACTATAACCATTGAGCAATGACAAGGCACATTCAATGCAAATTCCTCCCTAGTGAGCGCTGGGACACAGATCCACAGAAAGAGAAAGAGAAAGTTGGCTGAAGGAAGAGAGACAGGGAGAGGTGAAGACAGACTGAATGCAAAGGCCATTTGGAGGCCCCACAAAGGAAAGACAGAAGAATGACAGAGGAAGCCAGTGAAGGAGGGTGTGTTCTGACTGATTAACAACACAGTGGGCTGCCTACTGACCGTCTGCGCAGGAACAGGACCACGACCACGACGAACAACATGGCTGCTCCTCCAACTGCTACACCCAAGTATAATGCTGTGTTGCTGTGGCCTGGAAAACAGAAGAAGGCACATGAGAGAAGTCCCACTCCTGAACAAGCCGACGAAACATTTTCTACAGTTTCTCTCCACTGTACCTTCAGACAAGGTCTCGAACTGCTCCTCCATGCTGGAGCCTCCAGGGCTGCCGTCGCTGCTGAGGGCCTGCACCCTGAACAGGTAGGCGGTGCCCGAGGCCAGATCGCTGATCTGCACAGAGTTCTTCTCCAGTATGAGCACAGTGTAGGTCGTCACGTCCAGGTTATCATCCTGGAGGCAGAGGAAGGGAGGTCAGGCAGAAATTCAGACAAGATGGAAACCACAGTTCATTTTAGCATCACATCAGCAAGATAAGTCTACGAGGGAAAGCAGTCTTTCCTGTAACGTGACTGTTTACTTGTGTTTGCTAATGGATATTTCTGCAGATTTGCTCGTCTATGGGCTATTCAAAGTGCCCATTTGGTGCCCCTTTCAGCAACTTAATGAAAGTATTACGTCATCTAAACTGCTTTAAGTTATTGGATCCTGAAGGAACGCTCTCTCATCCTGCCTGTACTGTGTATGAACAGCAACATGACAATAAACTTGTTTTGATCAGAATATGTGTCTGTTTTTTAGCTCAAAACACTGCAACGATGGTTCATTTTACCATGACTGTAAAGTTCCTAGTTCTAGACGGGTTGTTTAAGTGACTGTAGTTTTAAATACAGCCGAGCTGCTGTTGTCCCCGCCCGCTTCAGGAAGAAGATTCTCTGATTGACACCACAGAGCAAACAGTCGACCACATGGCAGCTTACCTGGATGTGAATGTGTGTGTGAGACCAGGGCTTTATCTAAATATGTCTGAATTCAAAGCACAGCTGTTGTTTTTATCACAGGTGCTCGGTGAGTTTGTCAGATGACTGAAAAACGCTGCTGCTGGTGAACGTGTATTTTCGACGGGATGCTTTTCAGTCACTGTTTCCTACTTGTTCTGTTGTCTGACAACAGAAACAGAAGAATGGCAGCAACAAGCGTCTTCATATTCTCAGACAATAAAAATTGATTTTCACCACATGGGACCTTTAAATTACACATCTCATAATAAATCACACATTGATGTAGATGTCTGTAAATAATTTTAAACTTGTAAAGTAATGATGCATAAGATGCTAAATTTGTAGGAGAATCAGAAAACAGATGCACACCTTCTTCCGGTAGGTGAGTTCATAGCGGATGGGTCTGGACTGGGCCCGTGGTCGGGGGGACACATCCCAGGAAAGAGACAAGCTGAACGAGGACCTTTCCACCAGCCGCATGGTGGTGATTTTGGGAGGCTCTGAGGACACAAGGTGGAAAATGCTTGAATATGAAAAACATGGCCAGACTTCAGTGATGAAATCAGTTTATCTCGACTCCTGCAGCAACATTTCGACTTGCCAAGCTGTCACCACCTCAGATAGCATCTGTCTCTACTGCAGCACAGATATCATCACTGCCTCCTATCAGCAGCGCTCACCTGTGTAGTGTAGCGACGTAGTCAGAGTGCTGGAGGAGGACGGCCTGTGAGCCCGGGGCATTGCCTGGGTAGCCGGCAGCGACACGCCGCTCTGAGCCTCCACAGTGAAAGTGTAGTTGAGGTGAGCGTCCAGCTCGCTCACTGAAACCTTGGTGTCCGTCAGGCGCATGCTGGCTGGCTCGTAGCGGATTTTCTCTCCACAGGGCTGGCACACGAGGCCCTCGCAGCGCTGGCATTCAACATTGTAGGTAATGTCAGTTCGGCCTCCGGTGTCTTCAGGTGGGCTCCAGGACAGCAGCAGCTTTCCTGCAGAGAGCTGAGTGGTGGTGGCCACCAGATCCCGCGGGGCAGAGGGAAGGCCTGATGAACACAGGGTGGGAAATGACATTGCATGTTAAATAGAATAGAATCAGAGGCAGGCCAAATGTGCTGGATGCCTTTAGGACATGACAGAAAGCCTAAAAAGGAATTTGAATTTGAACAGAAGTGATTTCTGATTCTTAAAGCTGCATCTTACAGAGTCAAACGTGCACTCCAAGTTTAGAAAGCATGACAAACAAAAAGCACACACTAGAACATCCCTGCACATCCTTGTTTAAATGTCATTTCCTATTATCCCAATGACAGCCAACATTACTAGATGTTCTTACCTGAGCAGTTTCCTGTGGGCGGGTCAGTTGGGGCCCGGTAGAAGCCATCCATGCAGGGACAAAACAAAGCCCCGGCGCCCAGTCTCTGTGTGTTGGCAGGACACGGCTCGCACTTGCTAGCAGATGCTTCAGCTTTAAAGAAGCCAGGCTGACATTCTGCAAACACAAAAAGACATTTGCATGAGCAGCCGCACAAGGACAATAGTGACTTGAGGCAGCATCCAGTGTGACACGGTGCAAAGCCAGTTCCTCCAAATCAGCTCAGTTATACTCTGAACTTTTCAACTTGCAGCAGCAACAGCAGGAAGGTTGAAGGGACACAAGGCCAAAGGTTGGACTTGGACAAGCTACAGAGATAGAAGGAGGGAAAATAGTGTTGACTCTACTCATTAAGACTCTCTGCAGCTAAAAGGTTGCTCAGATGAGCCCAGCCCTGAAACAAAAATGCAGACTCCCTGCTTTGCCGGCACTCCTACTCTTTACTTTTTCAACCACCAACCCCCCTCTGCTGCTGCTTTCTTACAGTGCTTCTCTCAGCAAACACAACCAGTTATCCCACATTCCATGACAGTAACTCAATTTTCAACACAGCAAGTGAAGAGAAAAAGAGGCAACAAAAAGGAAGCGGCCCAAAGCGGCGACCGTTTGTTTTATTTTTTCGAAGACACACATGTAGACCTTTGAAACTGTATCGCCGAGATAAGATGACACCTAATTTCACACGTCCAACAGAGAATAAAGAAATGCAGGTAGAGGGTCCAGCTGTGCGTAGCGGCGGTGAAACATGAACTTAATACGGCGTGAAATTTTGGAGGGAGCGCGCGATGAAGGAGAGTGAAAATGAGACGGATCCCCTTTAAGTCCGGCGGCTGCTGCTGCTCATGTCCTCACACCATCGCACGTTCATGCACACACACACAAACACGTTCATGTATGCATTACACACAGGCACCCACACCCGTATGCATGCACAAAATACACATACATGTATGCAAAGCAGACTTGTGGACACATGGGCAAATCTGACATCACAAGAGGGATTATGTCCACTGCCTGTCACCTGTTCATGTCCCTCTGCACACACACACACACACACACACACACACACATATATATGTATCCACACATTTCCTTCCTTCCTTGTCGTTCGCCTGGAGTGTTTAAATAGTTCGCGGCAGATGTCATAAGATGTTGACGATGCAAATGAGAGCCGACATCCAGGCCAAAGGACAACACAAGACGAGTGAGGAAAAACTGGAAATGAAGAAAACTGTGGTCAAAAAGAAACAGATCAGACAATGTGGACACAGCCATGTGTAGCCAGGGATTGAGGTTAATGCCACTGACCGGCTAGAAGCACTGAAACATTCAGTCTTAAGCCTTGATTATACTCTGGTGCAGACGAGCAGCTGCTGACACCCACAGACGAGTACTTGTTGATAATACATGCTACTTTTCTCGGCTGTACGAGTCTGCTTGCAGGACTCGGTTGCATAAATGTGCAGCAGGTTGTGAGTACATATTCTACACACTGTGACTTTGAGCGGCACGTGGACGTGTGCGGAGAAGATTGGTGAGACGTTGACATTTACATCCCATACTTACAGATGCAAAAAGTTTTATGCTGGCCTTAGACAAAGACAACGTTTGGAGGCCAGATTCCAACAGAGCAGAGCCAGGTACAGAGACAATATCAGGTTCGGATACTGTCCTACAATTGCCTCTCACTGCGGTTCACATGAATGAAGTTCTTCTTAAATCCACAAGTGACTACAGGCGCAACGTGGAGAGCACATGGCCAGCTCTCTATTTAAATCACATCGAGGGGATTTACTCGACGGCTCGTGAGTCTCTCTTCATCTCCGTTTGGCCTCTACTATCACTGTGGTTCACCGAGCTGGGCCAGAGCTGCTGTGAAAAGGTGTACATTAACTGAAGAGCATGACAAAGACGGTGAAAAGAAAAAGAATTTGCAAGTTTGTCCAAGAGGCTCACATATTACTCAGTCCTACCCTCAGGACAGCATCTCTCCTCTGTGCCGGCCAGCTGTTTCACTAACAGCTACTGCTACTCATTAACGCAAATGAAGCAGAGGTGCGGCGAAGCAGAAGAGAGGTGGTATGGAGGAACAGAAGGCTCAAAAAAGAAAGAGAGGAATACTGTATCCTGCTGAGGACTGAAGAAAAGAAGGGGGAAAGAAAAGAGACAGGCCAGGGCAAACTCTTGCATTGAGAAGGGGGAACAGCTGCTGCCTCAAACCCTGATTCATACCCCTACCTCTCCTCCTCGTAATCCCCAAATTCCTTCCTCCCCTCCTTTCTCTCCTCCCAGTCATCACTAAAAAGGCTCCCAGCTAACCCATTAACATTGCTATTCACCACTGACCAGCAGGCAAGGAGAATACCATGCCATTCAAGCACTGAAAGAAAAAAACATACACACACACACAAGCATTGCAGATGGGAATAGCCGAAATGCCACATGGCAACTGAATAGAGGAGGACTAGCCTCTTTTTGGCGCTACAGTGCCGGCTGCAATGCATCGTGGTCAGGCCTGTGGAGATGATGGCCTTACACTGTGAGTCGCCTCTATAATCAAGATGCATTCCAGTGCACACCACCCAACAGGAGGCCTGTAGCAGAGCGCCTTTAGTGCAGCTCCAGTTTCAGCCCAGTTCTCCTCCATAAAGGTGAATGGGTTTGTGTATCCAGAACACAGAGCGACAGTAAATGTAACTGGATGACTCTGTGCTGAGGTATTTAACAAGAGAATTCCTCGACAAAAGAGAAAAGTCCAGCAAAAGGAAACTTCCTGCTTGCATGGAAAAGGTGGAGGGGGGGTTGGATTGTTGCTGGACACAACAGGAAGCAGGAAGTATGAGGCTGACGCAGCCTTCCTTCCTACGGCAGCCAATCAAAGAATGGACGCAGAGCGGAGCGTGACCAAGAGGAGAACCAGCACAGAGGCAACCACAGTCAGACCAAAACGTGTTGATCCAACATGAACATGAGCATTGAACCCATGGTGGGGGGTGGGGGGTCCTGAGGTGAATGATCTCATAAACAAATGTCTCTCAGCCTCTTCTGAGCCTGGACAAAGTTAGACTGGCCATTTTTTTCAGTCCCTCTTGCTACAAAGCGAGGAACTGTTTGTCATCTGAGAGGCCCCGTGTGCCTTAAGTGGCTCTGTTTGTTTATGTAGAGTGAGTGCAGGGGCCTGTTGCATTCTGGGAGCCCGAGTGGCTCTGGAATCGGAGCCTCCGAGGGCCCCCCCGGTTCACTGGCAGAAGTTAAGATGGATGAGATGGCGACAGTGATGAATGCATGGCTGGAGAGATGGATGAATGGGTAGCATGGTGGCTTGACAGCAGAAATGGGCAGTAGGAGTAAATGGTAGGGCCCCCCTCCCCCCCAGTCTGGTCCAGCGCCGGGCTTTTAAAAGGCAGAAAGGTCACGTCTGCCTCGGGGTAGTTGTGAGTTAAACTGTACATGGCTTACAGCGAGCCAGTGGCCAAGTAAAACAAACACATGCTCGCAGCGAGGAGGAGGAGGAGGAGGAGGAGGAGGAGGAAGGAGAAAGGTTAAATTCAGAATTATGGCAAGTGAACAAAAAACATCTTGGAAAAATAAAACCAACCACAAAATAAATACAATGTGTAGATCTCTATCAGCTCCCTAAATATATCTGGAGGCAAGCAAGTCTCTGCTTTGTCTGCACCCTCATTTATTACCCTCCCCAGCCCCCTCTGGCCCGAGTCGCTCAGACCTGTAATTGCAATATGTCATGTCAGTTTGTTTGTGTGCCGGGTGACAGCGTGTCATTAGCATTTTGGGGGTCTGGGGTTACGCTGGAACAATGGGGTCTCTGATAGGGGGAGGTGAACCGCTAACCTGAGCCAGGGGTCGCCGAGGTGGAGGAGGGCAGGGCAGAGGGAGCCGGGGGCAGTAAAGGTGTAGGGGCTGATGGAAGTGTGTGCGTGTGCGTGGGGGGGCATTAGTCAAAAGGATTAGCTGACCAATGGAGCAGCTGTAAGGGCATTACATCTGTTTTACAATCGCACTCGTGCTTTCATCTGAGGTTGTTAACAAACACAATAAATTCCCTGATCCCCTTTCTCCTCTCACTCCCTCTGACAGAAGGACGGAGTGAAGTGGACTCAGGCAGACACAAAACATGCTCAAGAAGCTCTGAAGTAACACAGATGCTTTGAAGGAACCAACCCGGGCCGACACGATCAGCCCCGCGTGGCTTCCAGAGGTCACAACAGTCGTGGTCATTTTGAAATATTTGCAGTCGGATCCAGACATCCAGGTGACAAACGCAACACCGCTTTACTGCCCCACAGCGGGCCAACAGGTTACGCTCTGCATGCCGACAGCCGTCTGCTTCCTGCCTACGGGAAGTGACCAAAACGGGACCAAATGCACCAATAAACAGAACGACTTATCAGGCAGGACAACAAAATAGAAAGCGGCTCAGCACCGGCCGACAATGAAAAGCCCTGAGCCAACGGGTCGGGGAGTCACCGAGGGATTAGGTGACCTCCGGTTTCCGCTGTGGGCTCGTCCTGTTAGCGGCGGGAGGGGGGCCGTGTTGTGCTGTGGGGGACGACTGACTGACACGGGGGGAAGGAAAGTGCTGACCTCACACGCCTGCAGTACAATACAAAGCGCCTCACATTGCTGTGGACACCCCTATCACAACACACACACAGACACACACATATACACACACACACACACACACACACACACAGGCTCAGGAATGTCACCAAGAGGAAATATGTCCCAACTGCCCCAGCGCAGCGCTAACAACTGCTGAGGTCCACTCGTTGGACTAACGGCCTTCTGAAGCAAAATTAGAAAACAACACTTTGCTCAGAATTTGAAGCGATCGACACACAATTAAGTCAACATTTTATTATCTACAGCAGATGAAATGACTCCATGTGTTTTGTTGTTTGTAGTGATAATCACACATACAACCCCCTCAGCTCTACAGAAGGTTTCAGCCTCTTTTCACTCTTTGTTTTGCTTTTCCAGGCTGCAAGCTCCACTCAGCAGATAGTTGTCCAAACCTGAACACCTACAGAGAGCAAGAGATGCTGGTGGAGGCCTAAACACAGCAACAGGATGTACCGTAGTTCAGAAACAAA